TGCACCAGAAACGCTCCTACCTAGGTCAGACCTCTACCTTCAACCCTTTAAATCCTTCTCTCCTTTATTTGCAACCCCCAACCCCCCCCAAAATCTTCTTTTGAGGTTAGGATTAGCCTGTGGAAGGCTTGGCCGGCGAGATGCACTAAACAAACTGCACGAAAAACACAGGAGTGCATTAAGACCTTGGACAGACTTCTGCCATTGGCTCAGATAGCGTCCTCGGCCTGGACTGGGGGGGGTGGGGGGCTAACTTATCTCCCTTTAGAAACTCGTCGCCCAGTTTTTTAAGCTTTTCCCTTTGTGTAAATGGTTTTTCAGCATTTTTTTTAAAATTACAGCCGGAATTAACTTTGATATACACAAACAAAACCTTAAATTCCAGCGGTGCCCTGCCTGCCAGCTTCGGCTCCTCTCAGGAAGCCCCGAGAAAACAGGCCCTCTGTTTTTATCTCAGATAGAGTTACCGTAATCCCCCAAAAGCATCTGGTTTGGAGTGCAAGTGTGTGAGAAGCCAGGATTTCCTTTGTGGCGTTCTACAATTTTGAATAATAGTGATTTCATAGAGACAGAAGTGTGTGGTGTTTGACCAAGGAAATTAAATCAATCAGGAAACTATTTTCAACCATTTATATTTAACAGAATTTATACCGCTTGACATCTAAATGAAGCAGTTTCCAAAAGTGTAACAAATAATGATGAATCATCATTTCAGATTCGATGTATCAAACTAGTTTTAGTCTTTGAGCTAACAGTCTTAAAACTGTCTCCAGTATTTGCTTCTGACATTCAGTTTGACAACATAAAAACATTTTATATTAGGTAATTTCTTTCTAAACTGATGTATTTACAAAATAAGCACACTGAACATTATATATCATATCAAACAATTGAATATTTTCTTACAGAAATGCTTAAAGGTTATGTCAAGATGACATCTTAAGACATGTTTTATTGTCTTGATTTTGACTTTACATGCTGTGTAGACTGTTGAAACGGTGTATAATGTATATGCAGTATGTGGCACTTTACTTCAGCAAAGGAAAAGTTAGCTATTGGGCGCTTTAACTATAAAAACTTCACAAAGAGAACGTTAAATGCTTTTTTTCCCATAGATTTAACGGTTAATTCTAATGTTTCTGGAGCCGCCTTTGAAGCTGCCTGACCACAAACCACACTTAGTTTTAATTTCTTCTAAAAGAGAAGGGAGGAGCCACTCTCAGGCTCTTCTGTTGTTTGCAGGACAAAAGGACCAACGGCGTACTTAAAAACACGTCTACGGCTTATTTTAACATCTCTTTAAACAGAAAACAGACTAAAGTTGTATTTCAGTAAAGTTAATAGAGCGGTTTAAAGATTTATTAGCTCATAGAGACTGGCCCACTTATTTCATCCATTACATTTGTAAGAAAAAAAACAACCTTATTACAACAGTCTCCTATCGGTGTTCCTCTGAATCCCTCTGACAGAAGGGTCCCTTTAAGAACAGCCATGAGGCCGGGCGGTGATCCCACCTGTGGAACCTGATATGCTTTGCCTGAAGCTCATTTGGCTCTAAGCCGAGCTCTCTGCAGCCCTCTCATTTATCTGGAGGGAGGAGCAGCCTCCACTTTCACAGAGTGTGATGACACACCTGCCCACAGGTGGAAGTATGGCCTCTTTACAGGCCTCCCATGTGGGACTTGTACGAAGATTGACACCGTGACAGCTTCTTGTGTGGGATTTAATGCCGACATGATAAGCTGCCCACACCCACCGTTTGCTGGAGATTATGTTCTGTTTAAACTCTGTGACACCCACAGGAAGGCAAAGCCTTTAGCTGTGAGCAAGACCCCAGAAAAGAAAATGTTTACTTTCAAACATGGAACACACCTATCAAAGTATAAATTATGTAAATAAGGAATGCAAAAATGAGGATACTATAAACAAATAGTGGCGTCCAAACGGTGTGCAGAGATCTTTCACCGAACTTCATTCCTTTATATTTTGCTTCAAAGCAGCCCGGCGTGATTTTAATCTTTAAAAGCGGTTGGGATCAATAGTTATGCTTTAATGTAACTTTAAAATCAGTCCAGCATTATGACTGATTACTTGAAGAAATTACAAGAAAGCCTATTTTAGAAGCTTTGATGATGAATACTAAATATTAAAATCAATTATTGAAATAAAGCTCAGTAAATCTGTCTAAACTCTGTCCTTATTTAGGTAATTTCAACAGATCCCTGTGCTTGTTTCCCAAGACTTTTTCACAAAACCATCAATTTATTTATCAGCTCAGGGAAACTTAGTAACTTGGACAGACTTGAAACATGTGAATTCCTTGTCTTCTGCTACAAAAAACTAAACCAAAATAGACCTGTAGATAAAAGTCAGAGATAATGATTTTACCCGTCAGTGGAACATCTGGTTAAGCGTTCACATGCTGCAGCTGCAAACTACTGGCCGCTCCACTCCTGACATCTTTGGACAAATTCAAATTCCTTCAGTGTTTTCTTAAAACATCTACTAAATCTACTTTTCAGCTTTGAACAGAACTAATTCTACTATGAATATTGGCCTAATTTAGAAAAAAAACCATAGTAGGTGTGGTGAATTTGAGTCAAAATTGATTTAATTCCCTGTTTCTGCAAAGCAGAAGCCATTTATTAGTTAGTCCCCTTTTCTTCACCATATTAGGACATTAAATAAATGGAATGATTCCAAATTGGTACAAATAGTGCAATAATTCCTGATATAGTTTTACCGATATGTTGCAGAGACTTGTATATTGAGTACAGTACAAGCATGAACTCTGTGGAATATGACACCTGCAAAATCCATCCCGACTTCCTCTGCTGGTCACTAACAACCTCTGGCAGCCGTTTGATAGGAAGCAACAATGGCTGACAGTCCTCGGGTCACGCTCATCAGTGAGGGGGAAATAAATCTCATCGGTCTCAGTGTCAAGACAAGCCTGCGAAGACAGGTGGAAAATGAAATCCTTCATTGCACTCATTCACGTCAATTAAACTATTGTATTAGCTGAAACTCTCCATTTTATGCTTCCACCTCTTGTGCTGCTTTGGCAAAGTAGGAAAGGATGATGCAAGTGGAAGAAAGGCACTACTACCACTCGAGTGCATGTGTGTGTGTGTGTGTGTGTGTGGTTGTGTGTGTGTGTGTGTGTGGGTGGATGTCTGGCGTCCTTCCCTGGCTTCATCTCCTGCACCCCATGCGAAACACTCACCGAGAATAAATGTGGACCAAGATAGAAAAGTCGTTAAAGGATGGCTTTACTATGAGCAACCCAGAAAACCGCCTACAGAAACCGAGCAGAAGACTGGATTTTGACACTGTGTTTCGCGCCAGCACAGAGGCAACGCTCTGACCACACAAAGCCCCGTCCGGACACCTGGGGGCCGTCCCTGCCAATGGCGTCACCCCTTATGTAACGATATTCCCTTCTCTGTGCAGCTCGCCTCACCGTGTTGACATTTGTGAGCACAGGCCATCTGTAAGCGGGTTCACGCGGCGTTGGCAAAATCTGGGTGTGCTTTCCTTAAAGCCAAAAGCAGCAGATAAAGAATGATATCAGTGTGTAATCAGCAATATACAGCCAGCTGAGCGTATTTAAATTCTGACTAAACGGTAAAAACGTCTTCTTTTGGGTAGCCCATAAAATGTCTCTTATGTGTCAAGAGAGTGATCACTCATTGCTTCATACTGGACCAAAAGTACAGGGAAAAAAGAGCATACAGTGATTCACATAGAAAATCAGCAATATTTGGTTTCCTAATGATGTGGGCAGATGTAGGACTTCTATAGGAAATCGTAGATAATAAAAAGCCACCTGCCAGAGGACAAACTGGCTAAAATCTAAAAAAAAAGGGAGGGTGAGGAAGAAATAGTGAACTCCGAGGGGTTAGATGGAGGAGGAAAACCATCTGCAGGCTGAAAGCAAGCATGCAATATGCGATAATCTGCCCTTAAGTGTGAGAGGACTGGAGACAGCACTTATAGCTAGTTATAATCCCCATGCTCTGTCTCCCTCCATCAGAGTGATTAGGCTGTGACATGTCTTTTTCTGTGAGGACTGGGTTATAACAGAGGCACAGGCTCAGCTGAGTTTATCAATTTATTCATTATTATCATTATTTATTATCAGGAACTCAAGAGGTTCTCCTAACTCGCTCATGTTTCCCAGAATCTTGGACGACTCCCGATTTCGTAATACTCCAGGTGTAAGAGTCAGAGGGGAAAGAATTTGCTATTGGCTAAGCTAGTAACAGCAGCTTGTTGGTTGGAATTGGCTTTAAGGATTTGTGTACCGACAGTTGTGTAAGACAGGTATGAGTACTTTATGAGTACTTTGCCTGCAGCAGACTGCGGTCACAGGATTTCTTGTATACAAATTTCAGCTGTGACTCAAATTTGACAATACAGGAACTACTTCACGGGAAATTTCCAGTAGGAAGACATCCAACGAATGTGATGCATCCTGTTCAGAGCTCAGCTGATCAGCAGCCACATATGCTGCAGGCAGAGCTGCGTGGATGCTGCTCAATTTAGAAATTAGTCACAAATAAAACACCACCGACAGAGTAATGACGAATTGTAAAAAAAAATATTCTGAAATGTAGCATTCCATGAACAGCTGTGGAACTAAACAGACCCCAAAGCCTGTAAGCTGTACCACACAACTTACACTGGTGTGCTGCATATTTAAAAAGCTGTCATCATCTGAAATGAACTGTAAGGATCTTTTTACAACAAATAATGAAAAGCAAATGTTCTGAAACGGATTGGAAAGAGCTGCCAGGAGTGTATAAAAAATTTAAATAAAGCAGCAAACACAATCAAACGCTTCTGTTTTCCAGGTCAATTCCATCCCCTTGATTACATGCTGTGTAGACATAATATGGGAAAATCAATCCACTTTCATTAGCAGCGGCTAATCTGGGTGCAGGATTGGGGGTGAAAAACAGAAGTGCTGGAAAGTAAGCTCATGCATGCGTGAGTGTAGTAAGCTCACCCACGCAGCGCGCAGCCAAAAGGGTCGACCACCAAAACGGAGGCGTACCCACAGAGACGATGGTACATGAAAGGAAAAGGAGAGCCTTTTCCATCTGATCTGGTTGAAAGGCGGCCTGTGCGGGGGGGCCAGGTGGGCGGAGGCCTGCATCTGGAGATCAATGACATCCTGAGATTTAGCGTGTCGCACATGTGACAAGGACCTAGTGGCCGGTAAAGAAGTGCCAAAAGCCACTGGCACGGCTGCGGTAGGTGCCAAACACCCCGCCACTCATTGTTCTGCTCACTTTCACACGAATGTGAGGATTTAAATCCTTCAGAAGAGGAAGGCAGGGCTGCTGTTTAGGAGCAAATGGAAGCACTTACATCCTGTAAAGTTTTTTTTTTCCAGGCGCATGTAAATTCGGGCTGTTGTAATCACAGATGGCTGGTCTAATTATAGCTACATGTCAAGAGGGAAGTTTTGGCTGGAAATAACCATCTGCAGCCATGGCGGCAGCCTTCAAGGTACAACGACACCGAAACGCTAATCTCATGAAAGCCCGTAATGAACCGAGGGGAACTGAGATTGCCAAAACATTGCAAGAGCAATTGAAGTTGAGGGACCAGTCGACTGTACGCATATAGCTTTGGATTAGCAGCTTCAGTCACCTCATTCTGCCCTCATGCAGAAGAATTAATGAATGAATGAATTGGCTACTGGAGACACGTTTATTGAGAAGCAAAGCACAAAACTGCAGCATTAATGGAGCCCAAGTGAAAAAGCATCCCGCTATTGTGTAAACTATCAAAAAAGAGAGAAGGAATCTTTTATTATGCATCATATCTGCAGAAATATTGCATTAAGGTAATGAAACAATGAATTATTAACAATCGGATTTTAGTCGATGCAGATCTAGACTTGCATATCAGTGTTTATACATTTTAACATGTCCTTATTTTCCATTTTGAGAGTCAAAAAGGGAAAGAAACACATGCTAATTTTTTATATCTGTTTTTTATTCCATTTTTTTTCCATGAACGTTTTTGTAATATCATTATCATGAATATATTGTGTGATGGACACAGTTATGTGTAAATCAGGGTTGTTGATGCCATGACTTAATGACCAACTGTCAAGGGGAACTTAACGACTGGTCTCATATATTTTTGTTTGTTAATTTAAGCTACCGGAGAGTAGAAGACTGAAAGCAGGGAAATTGCTAGTGTGGCTTAGTGAACAATCTGCTTACTAACACCTCCACAGCTTACAAACTAACCACTTAATATGCTGTTTGCTTAATCTGTGCAAAAGCCTTTGCACAAAGTCAGGTTAGCTGTTCTAGTAAACAAGCTGTATTGTTAGCTTCATACTTGGCCGATGGGATCGACCCTTGTGTGTAACTGTAGCCGCTCTCTTTTCTAACATCATCTGACTGAGCTCGTGCTTTGAGGTCAGAAAATCTGAGAGATTGTTCACAGGAAGGTCTGGAAGTTGATGCATATTCTTTATTATATAACTTGTTGCCTTGAGCTAAATGTATTGTAGTTTGGATACTGTGAAATCAGATGATCAGATTTATGATCGTCGGTTTAAATGCATTATTACTGGTTATTCTATGTTGTACTCTAAATCATTCAATGTGCTTGCTAACAATTAAAGAAAGCATGGTTTTATAGCCAATGATTTCAAATTATTTACTATTTTACCATAATTAATGAGACTTGAGAAAGGCCAATGAAAAATAGACTGTGACTGTGACGGTACATTATTCCCATATAACGACCTCCTTTTGCTCTGTGTGGGTTACACTTTATGAGTTTCAAAACCTCCAAGATCAGTTTCACCCATACCAAAACCCGGGATGAAAAGTTCACATTTAAAAAGGGAATTTATTTGGTGCATGGCCACCAGAGATGCAACATTAATCAGAGGCCACTTAGAGTGCTAAATTTTTACTATTTAGCACCTATGGACACATGAGCTCATGGCACCAGAAGAAGGGAGGATGGGCTGCTGCTCTAGGCGTAAATCTCCTTTTATAGCTATACATTGGAGAGGTCTTTGGTCTGCTGGTTTATGGAGTCAGCTCTTAATTTCAGAGCCAACAGAGGACAAAGAGGACTGTTGTCTTTAATAGATGCAGACATGCTGTGTACCAAGGGGACGGAACTCCAGAGAAAAACAGCTCTCATCGCCCTTCTGTTAAAACCATTCTTTTGTATGCAGAGCAAAGCGAGCGCTTACAGTCTCTGCAGCCGGACTGGAATACAATCTGCTGGAACTTATTATTTGTGGATGCAAATGACCCGCAATCACTCTATTGCTTAGCTTCTAACATCACCACATCGCCAGCATCTCTTACGCTGTCCACTGAGAAATCCCTCCACGGGCCAAAAAAACGAAAATGATAAGTAGTTTGGGGGTATGCCGCTGGCTCTAAGGTTTATTCATTGGAATTTCATACGTACATACAAATGTATGGGTTGTCTTGTGACTTTTGGTAGAATAGATACGGTATAAAAATATTTTCTCGCCAAAACAATAGCTATTCATCATAAACTCAAAGGTGGACCAAAGAGAGCAGAAAACTTGAATCTGAGTCTTTACTTGCTCTTTTTAAGCTAGTCATTGCCTCTCAAAGTTTGACAGAACAGAAAGGGTCATTAACCAACTGTCCTTGTTTCCTGTCCTTCATAGATAAGCAGTCCACTCCCAGCAAACACACTCACACACACACACACACCTTTCAGGCTAGCCTGCCGTGCGCGATGAATAGCAGGTGTGGGTAAAACCCTTATCAGCTTGTCTGGGAGGGAGTTGTCGTGGTCCAGTGCCACATGCAACTCGAAAAAATGTGAATTTACCTGTGTGACCGATCACTGAATCAGCCTGGGAGGAGGGTCATTCAGACCTAAAGGGCCTCGACCCAGTGACTCAGCTGACCGGCTATAAGCTCATTTTGTTGATGGATTGCATTAGCTTTTCCAGCAGGTCTCATAGCAAAGGGGAGAAGGCGATGCGTGCGCAGCAGAGGTGTTAACGATTTGGATTTTCCTCTTTCGGAGTGCGACCCGCCACACTGTGATTCAGCGTTTTCTCAGCCGGCAGATGCTGGAGTCTCACTCCGGGGTCTGATGACACTAAATCCGGCTCCCCTGACAGAGCCCAACTTGTCTGTCTCAGCTCTCTGCTGTACGCCTTCCAGCCCCTTTTTCCTCCGGGAAGCATCGGCGTTACATAAACGCCAGCATCCGGCTCGCTTGGATTTCCTTTGAGGTGCAAACTGGGGGGGGGAAAAAAGCTGCTTTTCCTGACTTGTCAGAAGCAGCGATTTCTGTGCTTTGTCGTGGAAACTGGCTGGGATGGTGAGGGCTTTTTAGGCGTGTGTGTGTGTGATAGCGAGCACACACACAGACATGGTCTGATTCACAAAAACAACCAGGCTTTTATCAGATGGCGTGGTAGTAGCACCTCAGACATGCTGCGGCGCCCGGGCTCCTCTTATCAGTCGGAGCCTGAAAGCTGCGTCCGAGGACGACCAGAACAACACGGAGAGGCGCTCCTGGGATGTCCGTGCCCTCCTATGACCGGCCGCCTCCCGCAGCCGTCCACTTCTCTTGTTTGGCGGACGCGGTTTCTTTGTTCAGCGAGGCGGCGCGCTGACGTGGAGTCGCCTTTTGTTTCAGAACGCCTCGGCTCGCATTGTTCGCCTGGCAGGAATTCTGCAACCTGCCCCTGTTGCTAGGAGCAACAATGAGATAAATGACAAGATTTTTTTTCTATTGTTCAATAAAAGAGCGATGGGAAAATGTAGAAACAAATACAAGTGTCAAACGTCTCTCTCGCATGATGATAAAGCCTTTCTGTTGGGAAGGAATGCTCTTATTTCGGTCGGAGGTGTTAAAAGCTGCGCTGCTTTCGCAGCCAAACCACAACAGGGTGAATCCTGATGCAACAAGTCAGCCGCCAGATGTCGTGCATCAAAGGTTTTAACACAGGGACACAGACTCTTCTCAATCCTCTTCCTCCTCCTTCAGTCGGTTGCGTTTCCCTCCCTCGGTTGGCCACCTGAGAAAGTCTAGAAAACAAGCCTCCCTTCATTGGGAACGTGGGGACCGATCCATCCGGAGGTGCACCTGACTGGGCCACTTCCTGCGCGTCCCTTTCATGGGATCTGCAGCTCAGAGGGAGGAAGAGGGTGGCTCCAAGAATTAAGGCTGTGTTGACATATCAGAGAAGGAGCCGCGAGCGAGATCCTGAGGCGCAACAAGGGAGTCATTGAGCCGTTCGGTTAAAGGACCACCACAGTAAACACACCAGCTGAAGGGGAGGAGGACGGAAGAACCTTGGCAGGAAGGAACCCTTCATCACAAAAAAAAGAAAAAAAAGTGCGGAAAGGCAACTGGGCAATGACCCCGACATTGACAGAGGTCTCTTTGGATAAATGACAGTGATTCAGAGTGCGTTAGCCTCAAGTGAGGGGCTTAACTCCTCTGCAGACACCTGTTGGGCTCGACAGAAGAGCCTTTCACTGGGGACAGGTGCCTCTGCAGCCAGTCGCACCATTCCCCTCGCGCTCCCCTTCAGCTGCCCTGCTGCCAGAGCTGGGACACAGATTCCTCACATGCCTGACCGTCACCTCAGGAACCACTGCAGAGCCCATCAGGGTTCCAGCGTGTTGGTAGTAAGAGATTATGAACTAAAACACTTTTATTAGTCTTTGATAAAAAGCACTCGTGTTTCCTAAAAGTACTAGCTGGACAAATATATAAACAAAGTTAGACATTCCTGACTAAAAACAGCAAGTTGGTATCACTAATGTTGTTATGTGACTCTAACCATTGGGAATCTTGTATTTGATTGATTATTCTACTGATTTTCTGAATCAAACAACCATAATTTAGTGAATAGTTCTTGGTACAATTGTCTTAAACACTATAACAAAGCCAAAGCATGTTCAGCTGAGTATCTCAATAAATTCCTTCAATTCTTTCCATGTCAAAAATTGTTTTCAACAATGTACCTTTGAGTATTTCTTTAGAAAAAAAAAAGGAATTCAAGAAAAGCTCAAAACTCAGAGGCTGAACTTTTGGCAGATTCTCATTAGAAATTATTAATTTCTCTGCTAATCAGCAATGTGGGCTCAATGGTGTCTTTCTATTCCGTCCATATCTGAGCTCCAGCTCTGGAGATTTAATTGGAACACTGGAATCATT